TCCAGAAGGGAAAAGGACCCACCTATCCATTTTTTTGTATAGTCCGATTCATTGAAGAGCAAAAAAGGTCCTGTGTACTAGGTTCTTTTTTCTTCTCAAGGACCCACTGCTTGAACGAGGGCTCGCTGCTTGAAAGAGGGCCCACTACTTGAACCAGGGCCAACCGGTCTTTGGACCGGTAGACCGACAGCTCAATCCCTATAACGACTCTTCCAATCCCATCTTCTTAAGGAAGTGTAGGATTTGGAGTGGCTTCAAATTAGGTAAATATCCCTCTTCTATTTGATATGCTCCCAGGTATAGTGCCCTTGTATTTTGTCCATGATATTTTCTTTGTTTGCTTCATTTGCCCATTCCTATTTCCATTTCTTTACTATTGTTTTTATCTGTTTGATTTTTTTTGTATTATCATCTTCTCTCTTGTATAATCTTGCCTTTTCCTTCGCCAGTAGGTATATACCTTGTAGGACTACTAGACTGTTCTATAAGCTCTCGTTACTCTCAGTAGCGCCTTATCTCTGTGTGTCGTTTATTAGGATTTTTAATTTTTTTGTGTTTAGTGATCCATACCAAATCGATGTACCACCCCCTACAGCCATTTCTCTCTTTTTTACTCTGGTCCTCTTATATTTGTCATAATTTTCGACAATTTCGTTAGTCTGCCTTCTTTGTAACGTATCTGATATGTTGTCCAACCAACCAGTATTAAGTATTTAATTTTCTTCTGGTATTGTATTTCGGCTCTATCAAACCAGAACGTTATCCCTTCTCTCATCCGTGGTTCTTTGAGGAAAAATTCCTCTGTCTTGAGTTTTGCAACCTCCAGTATATTTTCTCCCATCCTTTTCAGAATCTTCTCTTTTCAATTGCTGCGACCTACTTATTTTAGATGTTCCTCGCAATAAACTAGGTGGATGATCTAAATTCCTACATTTCTTTTGTTACAGATTTTCTTTTAGTACATCACGTTTAGGTTTTCATTGATATACACTCTAGGTCGAATAAAGAAAATGTCAACATCACCTTTTCTGCAGAATTTGGAGTGAGGGTAGCCATATGTGAGTAGTAGGGATTAAGTGTAAGGGGTTAAAGAAAAGGTCCTTTATTTCTCACAAGTCAATTTAATTGGCGACCGGTTTCGAAGCTGTCACTTCATCATCAGGCACACCTTGACTATTTCCATAAAGGAAGCGCTACATAAAGTTTAACAAAACGAGTTAAAAAAGTCATATGTAATACAATAGTATTTTTTTAAAAAAATATTGTAGGTTAGGTTAAACCGCGAGATGTCTGTTTGAATAAATTAATTAAAACACATGTAAGACAATTATTAACTAAACAACACAAAATAGTTTTTACAAGCACAAACAGTTTAAAAAAAAATTTTTTTTAAGGATATAACGTCAATTAATAAAAGTAAAAAGTAAAAATTATCAGACTGGCGAATAATTTGAATGTTTCCATTGCTATTTGTTTGCTGTTGAAAATATTATGCAAATAATTTAGGACTTTTAATAATTTTTAAAATAAAACGAAAAAAAAAAGAAAAGATCATTTCATTTTTCCCTATCCGAGAATCGAACTCGAGTCTTCCGAGTGGAAGGCAAGAACGCTGACCACAGGACCACCAATTCTTTTATTTTTGTTGCTTTAATACTCGTAATTAAATTGACTTCATATAATTTTATTTAAATCAACAAATTATTTATAATTATAAACGAAATTTTATTATTTATCGATTCTACACAAGAATAACCCATTTTAATGTATGTTTAATCTCAATAACTAAAAAATAAACTGACAATTAGTTTGACAGATTTGTCACTTATTTAAAATTTTAAAAATAATAGCAGTCGGTTGATCAAAGTATGAACGGTGATTGGTGGATTTCATTTTTTTGCAGTGTTCTCACTACCTAAATTGGATATGAAATATATTCGTTCAGTTGATGGCAATATCATACTTTTTCGTTTTGTAATCTGTGCGTAGATAAGCTAATATCAATGTGTGTGTAGAAAAATACATTTTTTGCTAAAGTAAAGCCAATGGTAATTTGTCACTAATCTAATGACCCATTGTAACCTATTGTTTTTTCGAAAAAGTGATATACAAATATTGTTTAAGGATTTTTATACACAATCAAAAAAGTATCATTGTAGATATGTTCATTTCTACTTTCTATAAATATCGCATAACCGCATTAATCTTGTGGTAATTCATAAAATTTTTATTAATAATATTAGAAATTATCAGAATTTGTATTATCAAAACGCTGAATGTTAATTTGATTATTGTATACCACCTATTAACAATAATTGTTTATACATGCTTATATACTATTTTTGAGTTATAAGTAAATCGTATACTGCCACTCAGTCATTTTAGAATAAAATATGTTAATAATTTATAAAAATTAACTAACTATGTGTATTTCTTATAAAATTATTTTAATAAAATATTTTTTTTGTAAAAATTGCAATTCCAACTTTTTTGTTAAACATAGATTGATTCTAAAATTTCACCTTAAAATACAAATTTACAAAAAATAAAAAAATGGTTAGTTTTAAAAATACTAGACATTAAAATTTGGAAAATCAATTCCGAGGGAAATTAAATTTGATGAATGGAACTTTTTAAATGACGGTCAGAAGAGCTTTTTTTAAAGTTTGAAAAATTTGTATAATATTTAAAATAGTATATTGTTTACCAAGTAGGAAAGTCTAACATTCCTTGACGACAGGAAGCTCCAGATAATGAACATTTAATGATTAAGGTTCTAATTTCTATTTAGATTATACATTTATTTATTTTTTAGGTGGTTTTAATATTTGGTATTCCTGGGGCTTGTAGAATGGATGAGTTAGTCCGAATGACTCTACACGATGTAGAAGCGGAAAGGGTTGTAGACAAGTGGTAGGAATACATCAATTTAGAAAAATGCTTAAAATAGTAGTTACTTATTGAATTTGGTAAATCCAACAGAATATACTGGTCACTGCTTTCGTCGATCTTCTGCAACAATATTGGTTGACTGTGGTTCCGACATAACTAGTTTAAAGAGGCATGGCAGATGTAAGTCATCAAACGTTGCTGAAGGATATATTGAAGATTCTCTTAACAATAAGGTTGAAGTGGTAAATAAAATGTTCAACAAAATAACCCTACTACCTCGCATTTTGTCCAAAATGTTTCTCATAGTTCTAATAATGTTCCTTCAATGTTCAATAATTGAACTAACTGTCAAATGACTGTACATATAACAAACTAAATTTAAAATATAAACCTTATTAAGAACGTGTTTTCAATCATGTATGTAGAACACTAACAGTAAGGAAATGAATATTTCCTAACAGTTGGGAAATCTTGACTTTTTCTTTAAGAATTTTTGTTTGGAATGTCAAAATTTTCTATCGATTTGCGGAAAATTATATTATTAGGAGAACTCTTTAAAAAAAAAGAAAGGTAGTCGTCTGTCTAATTTTTTTGTTAACAGAATGGAGCCGGAGTGAAATTTTAGAAAAAACAGATACTGATAAAAAAAGTAAAGTAGTAGCGACCAGACAGGCCGCGCTCGAGGAGGAAGATCTAGAATTTACATATAAATTAATAATTATATATTTATTTATTTATTATTTATTTATAAAACCAAACGTATATAGTAAATTTTTGTTTAAAGTTTCTTTTTCGTTGATTATTACTAATAAAAATAAAATTAGGATAAAAATCAACAAAATAATTAAATTACAAATTCCCTTTATAACTATCTGGTTTAAAATTGTATTTATTTCAGCTAGTTACTGTTACATATATGAGGTGGGGGAAATTAATTCCTCATTTCATATCAATAAAAGGAAAGTCATAATTATTCATTAAAAAATTGTGAAAATAAATAAATAATATCTGTGAAACTATAATAGTAAAATTACAGCATCGAATTAAAAAACCAAACAGTGACACGTGAGATGTAAAAAATGAGAAAAGATACATTCCGCCTAATATAAGTCGAAGCCGAGATCATCCAGTATAAAGAAGAAGCAAAAGAAATCGCCGAGTAATTCGCGAAAACGGTCACATCGCTCACCGAATGGTTAAAATAAATAAAATCAATACAGCACTAAAAATTAGTTAAGTGGACAATGGCAATGGCGCGCAATGGCAAAAAATCGGGGTATGCGCAAAAATAGAAAAGGGCCCCAGTTAAAAACTACGTTTGTTCGCGCAGAACGCAACGATACCGAGTACAAGAAGAAAAAAAGTCCATTTCTGATTGGTTCCCGATAATTGCAAAATCGATACGCACTTTCTAATGCAATTAAATTGATCAAACATTTCGGAAAACTACGTGAATTTCCTTCACTTGCGCCCGCGATTCAGGTTTTCCGTCTCCGTTCAACCCCCCGCCACCCGCCGATTTGCCTAAAAGCTCGCGGGTTGACACACTTCACCATTACGCAAGGAAAACAAACGTAAACATGCATTGGAATAACAATCGTAACTTCTTATCACAATAATTACAAGAAAAAAATGAAAATGTATCCTAATGTTCGAATTTAGGGTGCAATTCACAAAATTTCATACAAATATACTATTTTATTCAATTATATATCGTCTGTTATCAAATTTGCTTTATTTTGCAATATTTTTTTTAAAATATAGAGCTGAATTGATAATTCTTTTCAAATTTTGGGGAAGGATCGAAGGATCCATTTAGTATTTAGATTTATTAAAAAAAAAAAAACAATTTTAAATTTAGGTTTGATTTTGAAAACACATTGGTACATATTTTTCAAATATTATGCAATTTTAGCCATAACCAGCTTCTCATTTGGGTGGAAAGTGGAACTCATTTTGCATTTTCTCACAAATAACAATTTTTAATAGAAAATAAATCATGAATCCCACAAAATTCCACTAAAGCGATATTATTTTGATAGTTCACTGACAAAATTATATAAATTGCACTTTTTGAAATAGAATCAAAATAAATAGTGTTTACTCACAATTTCGGTCTAATTTTTCACCACTTTCACTTAAAAAAATCAGTCACCACTTAAAAATCCACAAATAAAAACAAAAAATTAAAATCACAGCACAACGCGATTATCCGGCTAGTTAGAATCCAAAAAAAAAACAATTGCACCGAGTCTCCAGTATCCTCGTTGAAAAATCAAGAGTGCCGAGAGCCAACGTTAGAGTGTGCGAGTGTGGTTGCAATTGTCGAAAACAATCGACACACACGCTTCTCCGTCCTCACAGCCGCCTGCTTACTTAGAGCGTGCAGAAAACACTTGCGACTTGCGCGCCGACCTGCCCGAGTTTACCGCCTACTATGATCAGCTTTTGTGAGTGAAGCTCTCTAGTCTCTCTGTACACTCTTCACTTACTCTTTACTCCCCATGGGCAACGATGGTCGGCGCGTATTGCCCAAATTCTAGCCGATTGGTAAGCATTGAAAGGCAAGAGCAAGACGGATGAAATGCATTCTTCTTTTTCGCTTGATTCGCGTTTGTTTCTGTGTTATAATATGATGACGAATCGAGTTGATGTTTTGATCGAATTTTGCATCGCTGTTTGGTTGTTTTTGTTTGGATTTATTTTGCGCAAATCGGATGAATATTTTTATTTCGCCAACTGGTGAAACTATTATAAAAAATGAGATAAATGAGATTTCCATTTGATTTTAAGCCTATCCGATCAATTGAATTTTAATGTATGCATACAATCTAATATAAATGATCTTTTGGGACACAACCAATAAGGTAAAAATAGTAATAAACAACTAAATTCTAAAACAAGTAAAATATAAGTATTTAAATTAAAAGCAAAATCTAGAACAATGATAAAGACAAAGGAATTCAGTTTCAAGAAGTGAAATTTCTAATAGAAAACCAAAAATATTAACAATGTGTCAAAATAAGAAAGCACGTCAATTGTCGGGCGGATAAATTAAATGACAAACGTTCAGTATAATTTTATATACGTGTTAATATCTATCTTTGGGTACGCCACTGCCCTCTGGCTAATCGCTTTTTCGTGGCGCGCTTTTATAAGTGAACCTGATGGAGTGAGAAGCGTTCTTGAAAGGCTTTAAGCTAAAAAGAGATGTCACACGATAACAGATCCCTGAAACGTAGTAAAACAGTCATAAAATAACTTAAATCAGCCTATCTTGCGCAACGCACACCGTGACGTCATAAAGTAGGGCGGGCCATACCAATCTTTCAAATCATAGATATAGAGAAGCAATGACGGTACTAAACGTGTTTGCACTTTTGCATTACTCTTTTACGACATATGTCAAACTCGAGCTAGTTAGTTTTGATGATAATAAATGCCTTATTTTTTAAAATTGCGTAATTTAAATGATATAAGAACATTTTTATTCCATCAATCTACAAATCTACAAAATTTCAAGGTGAAGGGTGAGAAAAAGTCCTTTATATCTCACAAGGAAAGTCAATGTTTAATTGTTTAACAAAACATTGAGTGCGACCGGTTTCGAAGTGTCATCACTTCATCTTCAGGCTCGCCTAGTGGAAAGGAGAATATGTGGTGTAAGGTGTGTTAACTTGGAAACAAAACGATATATAAAATAATAAAAAAGAGAAAACTCACCATACTCTCCATCCACTAGGGAATACTACAAAAACAAGTTTCATCAATTTTGGGTTGAAATAAATTGTAAAATGAACCGATTTACACGTAATAAAAAGTTAAAAATATTTGAAAAAACAAATTTTAGTCAATTATAGTAAAAATTTAAAATATTCAAGACTATACAAAAACAAATCACATATATTAAACAGATTAAAAGATAAGGCCTATTTTAAACATTGTTGTTAACATTTTTTGAAAGGAGACCTGTCAAGTTAAGGCATCTACAGGTGGTGGTAAGTATTATAACGAAAAAATTCTTGGGTAAACTTATGACAGGGTATAGTTAATAAGATGTAAACTATGAGTGAAGAATTATTTATTATCTATTATATAAGATTTGGGCCATGAACCAATCACCAAGTGTATGTGATGTTGTAGGAAGAAGAAAGAAGAAGAAATGACTGGGTTAACTGTTGTGAAGCAACTGAAGAATAAAAGAAGAAATGACGCATGTGGATATCAGACAATCTAACCTAATCTTTACACGTGCTAGTTGGTTTCTTATGGGAAAAAAATATAAAAATTACTTACTGAAATGTACCCCTTGCAAGAAGATATGTGAATAGAAATAAAGGGGGGAGGTTAAAAAGGAAGTTACAACGATAAATTTAGATTAGTGTTGAGAAAACAGGAGGAGTTTCTGACAATATCTGGGCATTTAAGCAACCAACAGGATTTAATTTTAAATGTCTCAATATCTCGAGGTTTTCGAAGCTATTAAGAGTAAATCTATTGTAGGAACTATGAAGGATTTCTAAACCTTCAGTTGAATCGAAGTCGTGATTTGAGTCCAGTAGGTGGTTGGCAAAATGTGAAAAACCTGTTGTATTTTGGTTAAGACAACGTAAATGTTCTTTTAAACGGATCTTGAAATTTCGAAATGTGCGTCCCACATAGAAAGAATGGCAAGATTTACAAGTTAATTTATAAATTCCAGATAAGTCAAAGGGATCTAATTTATCTTTATTATGAACAAATAACTTATGTAATGAAGAGGGGGTTTTGAAAGATACTTTAAAGTGGTCTTTGAGTAAGCTAGCCACTTTATAGGATGCTTTTCCAATAAAGGTAAGAGAAATGTATTTCTTACTGGTGGTTAGTTCATGTACCATATTAGGATTGTTAATATAAACTAAATTTTGTTGAATTTTATTTTGTTTATGTGTTAGCATTTTATCAATAATATCTAGTTCAAAGTTGTGATCTATGGCAATAGTTTTAATTATATTTAGTTCCTTATTAAAGTTTTCCGTAGACAGAGGAACGTTTAATAGCCTCTCTAAGTAGCAATTAAAGGCAGCCAATTTATGTGTTGCTGGATGGTTAGAGGTATTGTCTATAACTGTGCCTGTATGTGTTCTCACCCTTCACCTTAAAATTACCTCAACTCACACATGGCTACCCCCATGTCAAAAAAAAAAATCTACAAAATGCCTTCACAAAATAGTCCTTAGTCCGTCTCTACCTACTTCATATTCTATCTTCTCAACGTTTCCATTTCTAATCAAGCTCAAATTGTAAAAATCAACTTGAGATAATTTTAATTGTGAATTGTATTAAAAATTAAGTTCAAATAAAACTGCGACTTTAATATATCGGAAGTATGTGTGTCAATTCAATTATTGTTACCGAAAAATGTCACAGGTAAAAAAATATTATTATTTGTGAGGTTATGTTTATTTCCAAATTACGGTTATAATTATTTTGGGCCAGTCATTTCACAGTTTTCACCAAGTTGAAAGTAACTACTTGCTGATTAAACTCTAGGACTACTGTTTGTTAATCTGTAAACTTTACTCAGAGGTGAAAAGATCGACCCTTAAACAAGGATAATTCCTTGACCCTAGTACAATTTTATATGAATAATTGTTTATTTTGCAGTTTGTCTCCTGAAGTTATAGAAAAATACCCTATCTATAAATGCCAGAGGTAATAATAAACAGTGTCAGACTGATATAGGACTGAGGATTTTATAAACTTATATTTCAGTTCTTTTAAAAGCGATATAAAATATAAATACATATTGCACTAACTTAAATTAATTCAAGAAACTTAATAGTTGTGTCTATGTTAGGTATGTACACTAAATTAAAAATATATAAAATTTTGATTTATTACTTCATGTCGATTGCAATTCTACTATAAGTGTTATTGTATTACAGGCCTGAAGATGGTCCTGTGAGGCCGAAATTAGTCGCTTCTGTATTTAAATTTAATCAAATTAATGTGGTATGGATTTGGAGGTTTTATTCTTAGATTGAGTAAACTGACCACAGTATGTGACATCTTAAAGTTCCCTATGTATTATTTATTAATAGGACAACTGTAACCGAACTGTAGATTATTATATTAAAAAAATAAATATATACTTTACACCTAAAACCATCCCAATTTATTAGAAAATAAAAACCGTATATCCAAACTATACAAATTCCCAATAACAAAATTAGAATTGTAAATCCTCATAGCGAATCTCCTTCAAACCTCTTCGCCTCAATAGCACCCCCTCAGTAATATTCATTACACTTTCGGCGAGACATGAATATTCAGAAATCACCGAATCGCCGCACCCCTCCACCCTCACCTCGAGCGTTTCACCCTTTCTCACTCCATCATCATCCCCCTGGCCGTTTCGTAAAAAAATGTTCTCCGTCGCGTAAATGTGCGAATAGTCGATGTCAGTGTCGTGTTGTGCTGGTGCACCCCCCTCCCTTCTCAGATATCTTCCCCCTCCAATCAAACTTTCTGTGTATGCAAATGTTTCTTGGTATCGGATATCGGACTAGATCAGAGGCGAACTGGCCGTACTTGACTGATAAATAGCGTATTTAAATTAAAATAAATCAAAATATGTTAAAGAATAAAAATTTGTTTTAAATTTAATTTTGAATGCGTTTAAATAAAAACTAGGAAATTTATTTTGTTGTCAAAAAAAGTACTACTTAAAATGCAGTTTTTAGTAAAAAAATTCTTTTAATTTGTACTAAAACTAATTCAGAGAATCAAATTATGGAAATCTTCACTTATTTATTACAGTTTTTAATTATAAACAATTATTGTTCAATTTTGACATAGATATACTGAATAGTAGACTTTGGTTTGCTCTTGTGCTAAAACTATTCATTTTATTACAAAAAAAGGTAACTACATAAATTGTAGAAAATTTGTTACAAAACTATTTTCATAAAAAAATTAATCGGAAAGGAGATAATTTGAAAATTCTGTTTTTGGGCGCCATTTTTCCTTTCGTTTCGATTGTTACCAACATAGCGAGAGGCGGGCAGTCAGAAGTCATCCTGGAATTTTAATGTAAGGGTAGACGGTTAAACATGAAATTTTTTCGCAAAATAAGTGATAAGGTACAGCTCTGAAAATTTGCAGTATTATCGGAGATAGTATAAGAAAGTAGGGAAAAAATTGTCAGAAGTCAAGGGAGAAAAAGTCGTCAGAAGGCGCTTAGGTGGAAGAATAACAGAGATATTTGCGATAGTGAGAGTATGTATATAAATGGACTCTGGCGCGTTAATAAATTCAGTAATTAATTAGCATGGGTACACATTAAGAGTGTAAGGTTATCCATACTTACACA